GGATCCTTTCCTTTTGAAGGTAGGACGTTAGATGTTCCGCAAGTATCTCGTGTAGGCGATGTCCTCCAGTTTGTAAGAGGTCGACAGAAACATGGTCCAATCCCGGAGCCATGGCTGCCTCATGGTCTGGATTACGGCGCGTACTTCAGCAGGTAGAATCGTGGTGATACTTCTCAAGTGGGAATAACGGGGTTTGACACGGGTGTTGATGAGCGGAAGAGGTTGGTGTAGAATCTTTTCGTGATCATTTAAATCTTTTGTTGGGAAGACGTACGAGTCCCATCTTCGTTTAGTAATGTTGTCAGCGGAACACGATAGTAGAGAAGGTTCCTGCGGTACTTCTTTAGACTTCTCCTTCTTAGTGCTGTCTTTAAAAGTTTCGAATGCCTGTACTTTCGAAGATCTTCTTGCAAAGCTGTTTTGCAACTGGTATTTTCTACCAATCGCTCGAGATGTGTTGGTCGGATCCAGCCTCAGTGCTCTTCTCCTCTCTAGCATACCCTTGGTGGCTTTCGAAATTCGTTCCAAGTTCCTTGTGCGAGGCATTCAGGCATTTTCACCACAGGCTCTCAGTCCTCTAAGAAGTAGGTCATAGTCGTTTTTCGGGTCCTCCTCGATAAGCCAGTATGGTCAGGAGCTCCTCCAATCTGATGCCGTCATACACGGCTTCTCTCCTTCCTCCAGCACGATGACAAATATTTATTTCTTTAGGCTGAATCGCACTTTTGCTCGAAGGAGGCGGTGATATGAACCACTACTGAACGATGACACTGAGACATCCAGTAAGCAACAGCTTCGGTTGGTGAGCATTTGGCCGATTTTCGCATGAGTCGTACCGTTGGGTGACTCCCATGTCCACCGCCGGTGTTCTTTCTTTATGAAAATGGAGTTGCTATGAAGACGTCGTGCGACGTATAAGAGCCCAACAAGAAGGTTGCCGTTCTCATTCCGGAGTCCTGATCCAAATCCCCCGTGCTCCCCTTCTTCTGACATCCCGATTTTCGCATTGAAGTTACCCACGACAAATTTATAGAAGGAGTTTTCTTTGCGGATGATTTCTTCCAAATCCTCGTAACATCAAGTTCCGAATCATCAGCTACTGATGTTGGAGAATAGCAGTTGACGATAGTGATGGTCTTCTGATGCAGAGGACGGAGTCGAAGGATAGCCAGGCGAGATGATAGGATTTCGTGCGAATCGACAAGATGGACAACAGATGGGTATACAACAAATCCGACGCCTTTAATGTTCCGTGATGGAACCTTTTCACCACGAATGATGAGCGTGCTATCATTTAGCTGTCTCACGTCTATCTCCTGGACTTTGTTTCCTGCAAGGCGATTGCATGTAGTTGATGCGCCCTGCAGCTTTGAGAAGGGCATGAAGTTGGCGTTGGTGGAAACTATCCTGTGTTGGAGGTACAGAGCATGAGACAATCTCCATGGCGACTCGTTGACGTGTCTTTTTGCCAAAATTTATGGCGGCTTGTGCAACCTGATACTGGTCTTGGTGACATCCGACGCCGTAGATGTGATCCAGTGTGCAGGGCTTCTTTTTCTCTTACATGCTGTACGGGCAATAAGTAAAGGACATCTCCCCAAATTTTAGCAGTGCCTTGCCAAGGCCCTGCCAAGCTTTCACTACAGGCAATCGCTGACCTTATGTCGATCAGCGAACCACCTAGCGACTGAATAAGCCAGACGGTGGTGCTTCTGGCATGGCCTATTCTTAGCTGGGCATCTGGGGAACGTCGAACTGCTTCTCAGTTTGAGAGACCCTGCTGGAGGATAAACCTCCGTTGTACTTCGCAGTTTGACAATCAGGTCACCCCCGCGCTACGATGAGGCGGTAGACCATCACGGAGGCTGGTAATAAATAAATGAAATATTATAAACCTTTTAATCTTTGCAACGAACGATATGATTGGAAATTCATCCTAGCCTTGGCGCTTTTTCTCATGATTGCTCTGGTCCAACGAACTTTAACTTATATTATAGGTCAGACTGCTATAGAAATGTGAAGCTAGAAGATCCCTAAGTTGCTCCAACCTGTGTCAGTCTTCTCAAAGGAGTTGCAGCTTCAGCAGTTTGCCTTTCTCTAAGAGATTCCTAGAATACGTTTTCCCTGTTATAATTTAGATGAGACTACCATATCCACTACTTTATCTGCTGGTTCAGCGACTCGAAAAGTGGCTCCAGGATATCTTTGCTCTAATTCTTTTACTGCAGCTGAAAGTAGATACATTTGAAATTCAGCTCTTTACATGTTTTCTTCTTGATTGGCTGCAACAGACAAATCCTTACAGTGAATACTGGCGGTATTTTGCGTCTTTTGGGTCGCTGGAGATGAAGCAACTTCTTCAACTACGCCCTCTAAATGTGCAAGTCAGAAACGCTCCACGAGCAATACGCCGCTCCATCACCAAGCGCTTGCAAAAGTAACCTACCGTCTCGCATGCCACATTTGTCGTAGAACTGAACCTTACTGGTCGTAATTGTTTTCTTCCTGATCTTTGATGTTTATCTCGTCGTAGTTTTTCATCCATTTTTTGTTGTTGCAACGTAGAAATTTCTGATGAATATTTCGTGCAATGAGTAACTAGTGCAGTAGGTACTAACAAGTTATCAGTTAATTCGAATGCCCCCAACTTCGGTTCGCTAATTTTATTTGTGGGGGAACGACTAATTTGTCACGCAATCAAATTCCAGTTCAATACATTTGACATTTAATGAGAATCTTTGCGAGAGATGACGACCAAAAAATTCTTTTGTCTGTAGCATGTTCCTTCCTTCTTCATAAATTCTCAAATATAGAAGGAACACCAAGTGTTCCTTCGCCTACCCTGGAGTTCATCAATTAGGCTCTCGATAACAATAGTATTCAATCTTTCTGGTCGTGCGCATATAAAAGCTCGCTGCTGTTGCTCCTTTCGTCTTATAGTAGATCATTCCCACTTGAGGTTTCGTTGATGCTTAAGATCGTGAGAACTTCTGTTTGCATATTTGCTTCTCTTAAATCGATATCATCTAATTCGCCCTTTTCTAGCATCAAATCTTGAGTAATAGAAAATTTATCTTCAACCCTTCATCAGTTTTGAAGTAATGTCCAAACGAATGTTTCATTTTTGTAAAACTACCACATTATCCAAAACATAGGGTGGGTTGGGTGGCCTACTAAGAAATACTGCCAGTCAAAAGGAATCGACGAAAGTTTTGCATCCTGTACAAACGCGTGCAATCAGGACAAGCACTGCGGTGCCCTATACTTGGAGCGCTTTTCTTCATTAAGGAAAAACAATTCAGGACCCTAGCAAGGAAGGGAGAAAGTGCTGTGATCTGGTTATTGCGCTGTAAGTTGGGTCAAGGAGTGCACAA